GTTTAAGTATAATAGTTTATTTGGGGCAAAATTTGGTATGAGGATTTCATATTACCAAAATACATATTCTTTTTTGAACACTGATTTATTTTTCTATTCTCCAGAATCATGAACTCTTTCAAAAATGTTTATGATTTTTTTTTTTAGTTCTCTATATCAGAAATTTCGCTTTGTCATGTAAAACCTTTTTTTGCTTAAGAGGGAATCCTAAATTGCATTGTCTTTCTGTCATGAATTTCAGTCTCTCTTGCCTGCTATACATTGTGTGTGAGACATGTTCTTTTGTCTTAGAGTATTTTTTTTTTTTTTTGGTTTTTCTGTCTGTACAGCTGATTTTCACACCCGCTACCACTGTGGCTGCTGTACAGTCTGACATTCCTGTTGTCTCGTCGTCATCGTCATCTTCCTGTCAGTCTGCAGCTACTCAGGTGAGCTTGTCTAGCTTCATAACGTGGTGCTTGAGGTCTGGATCTTCAGGTTAAAGATAAGCATACATTGGAGTTTAAGTAACAGATCGTTTTAGTGCTCTTTGTCATATATTTCAGATTGAAATTTAATAAAACACTAAGAATTTCAAGAAAATTGTTTTTTCTTCTATGGAAATTATAATGCCATTAAACATGGATATTTAGGTTATTTGACATAAATGAAAATGAGTTTTCAATATTACATTGTGTTTAGTTCTATTGTATAGCAGATTTATTTTTTGTTATGTGAGATGCATTCTTTTGTGTAGATTTCTTTGCAAGCAGCTATGTAATAACTAAGTCAAGATGGATTTTAATATTAAAAATGAATTAAATTGGGTAAGTTTTAAATTAAAAAAATAGAATATTACTTTGTTTAGTACTATAGAAAAAGTGAGCCTTAACTTTCTCCTCATGTAAGTTACAAAAATAAATAGAAGTAGAATATAGACCTAATGGTAACAGCTGAAAGTACAAAACCTGTAGAAGAAGAAACAGGAAATATCTTCACAACTCTAGGGTGGAGAAAGCTTTCTTAGGTCACAAAAAGCACTAATCATAAAAGAAAGTAAGAGTTTATCAAAATTAAAAATTGTTCTCAAGAGACATTGTTACAAAAATGAAGAAGCAAGTCACAGAAAATGTTCACAATACATATATCTGACAAAGGACTTGTATTCAGAAAATGCAAAGTATGCTTACAACTCAGTAATAATATGAGCAATTCAATTAAAATTGGGGTAAAGATTTGAACACTTCACAAAAGAAGGTATACAAAAGGTCAACAAGCACATGAAAAAATGCTCAGCATCATTAATCATTATAGAAATGTAAATCAAAACCACAATGAGTATCGCCACACATTCACTAGAATGGCTGAAATGAAGGAGACTGATTCTGGAGAATGTGGAGTAGCCATATTCTCAAAACATTGCTGGTGAGTATGTAAAGTGGTACAACCACTTTTGAAAACAGTTTGTCAGTTCATTATAAAGTTAAACATATGCTTAACATGTGACCCAGCAATTGTATTTCTAGATGTTTACTGTGAGAGATTTGAAAACATATATCCACATAAAGATATGTAAACAAATGTTCATAGCAGTTCTATTCAGGCCCAAACTGGAAACAAACAATGTTATTTAACTCGTGAATGTACAAATTGTAGGATATTACTCGGAAATTTAAAAATATTAAAAAAAAACTAATGCATCTCAGAAACATTATAGTTTGCCCGGCCAGCGTGGTTCAGTGGTTAAGTGTCTACCCGTAAACCAGGAGATCACAGTTCAATTCTCGGTCAGGGCACATACCAAGGTTGTGGGCTCAATTCCCAGTGGGAGGTGTGCAGAAGGCAGCTGATCCATGATTCTCTCTCATCATTGATGGCTCTCTCTCTCTCTCTCTCTCTCTCTCTTTTTCTCTTTCTCTCTCTCTATATATCCCTTTCCTTTCTCTGAAATCAATAAAAAAAATTGAAAAAGAAATATTATAATTCAAAAAAGAGGCCAGAGACCAGAGTGTCCATACTCTGATTTATTTGCATGAAATTCCAGAACAGGATAAACTAATCTATACGGAAAGAAATTGGATTGGTGGTACCAGGGTCAGAAGGTAGGGGAGATTGATGTGGAAGGGGCATGAGTGAACTTTCTGGGTGATGAAAATATTCTATATCTTGATTGGAGTGGTGGTAATATGTTGTATAGATACATCAAAATTCACTGAATTGGTTCATTCCTTTTATTGAATGTAAGTTACACCTCAGTAAATTTGGTAAAAATGAAAGTAAATTTTAAATTAAAACAATTGAGTAGAATATTACTTTTTCCATAGAAATTAGTATATCTTAGGATCATCCTTGGCTAATTATTATTTTTTTAAAATATATTCTTATTGATTTCAGAGAGGAAGGGAGGGGGCTAGAGAGAGAAACATCAATGATGAGAGAGAATCACTGATCTGCTGCCTCCTGCACTCACCCCACACTGGGGATCGAGCCCGCAATCCGGGCATGTGCCCTGACCGGGAATCGAACTGTGATCTCCTGGTTCATAGGTCGAAACTCAACCACTGAGTCATGCCAGCTGGGCAGCTTCTTAGTTTTAATTTAATAGTCTCAGTCTTCTGGTAAAAAGCAAAAAATGACATAGTAATAGTATCCTTTGTTACTTTTCATAGATCTCTTTACATTATATTTTATCCCATCTAATAATAGACAAAGATTGAAATTGACCGTACCTTCGCTATGCCTCCCATTGGCTAATCAGCGAGATATGCAAATTAACCACCAACAAAGATGATGGTTAATTTGCATACGTAGGTGCGAAGCGGTGGAGCTAAGACTGAAGGCGCCTCCAGCCGCCAGAGCTGCGAGAGGCTTGAAGGCGCCTCAAGCTGGAGCAAAGGCCTGGGTCCCTGGTGCCGGAGGAAAACCGGTGCCTGCAGCCAGGGGAAGGGAAGGCCTATTGCACGAATCTTTTCATGCAACAGGCCTCTAATTTAATAATAAAGGCCAGCTTTAATATATTAATATATAAAGATGTTGACCAATTAAATTCAAGTTTTTCCTAACGGCTCTGTGATCCTCCACAATTCCTGAACTTTGTTGGACTTTAGTTTTTCCATGTTTACAAAATGAGACCTTTGTTTTTATTAACTTTAAGATTTTTTTCAGCTCTAAACTTTTTTTTTTAAATATATTTTATTGATTTTTTTACAGAGAGGAAGGGAGAGGGATAGAGAGTTAGAAACAGCAATGAGAGAGAAACATCGATCAGCTGCCTCCTGCATACTCCCCACTGGGGATGTGCCTGCAACCAACGTACATGCCCTTGACCGGAATCGAACCTGGGACCCTTGAGTCCGCAGGCCGACGCTCTATCCACTGAGCCAAACCGGTTAGGGCTCTCAACTTTTTTTTGCAAATGTCTCTTTGTGAAATGGATTTGTTGAAGTAATGATTTTGTTGTTTGTTTTTTAAGTATATTTTTATTGATTTCAGAGAGGAAAAAAGGAGAGAGATAGAAATATCAATGATGAGAAAGAATCATTAATCAGCTGCCTCCTACACTCCTCCCTACCGGGGATTGAGCCTGCAACCTGGGGCATGTGTCCTGATCAGGAATCAAACTGTGACCTCCTGGTTCATAGGTCAGTGTTCAACCACTGAGCCACACCAGCTGGGCTGTTTTGTTTTTTTTTAAACCTAATAAGCTAGACCATTATCAACTTCCAGAATATTTTCTATTTTATTTTTTATTTACATTTTGTTCCAACTGAAATTTTAATTGATTTACAAGGTGTATACAATAAAACAAGATAAAATAAATGTAAAGCCTGCCAGGAAAAGTCACAAATAAAAGAAAGTGGCATGGAGGTAGGAGTGAGGAGGCTATTCAGATTATATTCATGGACTTAATTTCAACTCCCACTTCAGTTACTTAATAGTTGTGTGGCTTTCGACAAGTTACTAAACATCTGTAATAGTCATACATACTTCCAGGGTAGGTGAAGAATGAGTAATAGGTATGTGTCTAGAACATTATAGGCACTTGTTAGTATCTTTTTTTGCAAGTGGGGGAACAAGAAGACCTGAGTTCAAATTCTGACTTCAGCAACTGTTGCCAGCTTTGTCACTTGCTAGTTGATTGATTTTGGACAAGGTCATAGTATAGCATAGTGTATAAGTTTGGACTCTGAAGCCAGATTCTCTGGGTTCACATTCATGCTCTACCACTTTCTTATTGGATATCCTTAATCTCTTGCTTCAGTTTCAACAATACAAAATAAAATAAATATTTATAAAATAATTATAATGCTAATTTTATAGGTTTGTAGTGAGGATTAAATATGTTAATAAATGAAAAACAGAACAATGTTTCATACATAGTTAGCACTCAATAAACGTTAGCTTTTATTACTAGCTTTTCAAGGCCTCAGTTTCTTCACTGTAAATTAGAAATGATAGCTCAAAGTTGTTATAAGGAATACATGAGACAATAATTATAAAGTACTTAGTATTCTGCCTGGCACATTAGATATCACATGCCACTAATTATTATTTTTGTTATATATTGTCTAAAGACGAGTCAAAAATTTGGTACTTAGCTTTGAAGTAGCTAATAGTGAAGGAACACAGCCACCTAAAAGATTGACAGTTTCCAAGGTAAAATAAAAGAGTTAGGAAAATATAACTAACATGCTCTCTAGAGCACAATCTGTCTTGTGTGGTCTCATGGAGAAAACATATTACAGTGTCCTTAATAGTATAGTGAACATAGTTATTTACAAAAGTGGCTTCAGTTTGATGTGACACAGGTATGAGGCTTTGTGATAATATGACTTAATTTAAAGGTAGACTTTGAGGAGCCTTTAGAAATTTCTCTTCTGGGCTTTTGAAATGTTTTTCTCTTCTGGGCTTTTGAAATGGCAGTGAGGGAGACTGGAAGTGGTAAGTGATGCTAATACTTTGAATATTCCGGTGGTAACTTTCTTCAAGTTCAGGGCTCTTAGTTTTGAAAAATTTGTGCTTCACTTTGTTAATTTTAAAGCTTATATTTTCAGTTTTGTTTTTTTTTTAGTATATTTTATTGATTTTTTACAGAGAGGAAGGGAGAGAGATAGAAAGTTAGAAACATCGATGAGAGAGAAACATCGATCAGCCGCCTCCTGCACATTCCCCACTGGGGATGTGCCCGCAACCCAGGTACATGCCCTTGACCGGAATCGAACCCGGGACCTTTCAGTCCGCAGGTTGATGCTCTATCCACTGAGCCAAACCGGTTTGGCATATTTTCTGTTTTTAAAATAATTAGTGTGTAATTGAGAGCTACCAAATTTCAAGTTTTATTTTAGTACTCTTTTTAAGTGATAGAAGCCAGCATAATAGTTCATTTTTCCTTAGTAGTAAAATTTATTTATAGCATACTATGAAAAAAATAAGAAATTCAGAGTATTTTACTCTTAACCCCTTCCCCGGCAGAAACGTGTATACTCGTTTTCACAAAATGTTCTTTTTCAGTCGTCGACGAGTATACTAAGAAAATATGGTAAAAAAATATGGTTTATAGGAAGACGAGTTACAAACTGTTTTCATAACCAGCATCAAAAATACTATATAGAACCAAAATAAAAAAATTAGTCTGAAAAAGAAACGTTTTTAACAAAAAAATTGTTGGGGAAGGGGTTAATTACTATTTTAAATGTTCTATCCCTTCTCCCCACCCTTTTTCCAGAAAGATATCATAGAACTAAAAATATGTTTGTAGAAAAGTAAGAAATCTTACTTGCCATGGCTATCTGGGGAATGCTGTGAGAATTGAGAAGAAAACAGCCCTTTGGATTTAAAATCTAAAAACTCGGCTCTGTTGCCGCCAATGTGATATTAACTCTTAGTTTCCTCATCCGCAAAGAAGGGATGTTGCTGTAATTCACCAAGTATTTCTTAGATTCAAATAGAACAATCAGTGTGAGAGTATTTGGGTAATCCACTATAAAAATGTAAGGTGTGAAATTAGCAAAAATACTTCATGTGAAATTAGCAAAAATACTTCACGTGAAATTTAGAATTTTTCAAAAGTCAGAAAAGTTTCTATAATTTGATCATAGTTTTTGTTTAGATAAAGTAAAAGTTGGACTTCAGAGTACACTGATATTCTTTATTTAGAAAGGGTGTGTTTTCTTCAAAAGTGAGGCTCTCAAGGAAATCTGACTATGTGATCTTCCTATTAATAGCTAAATTAACTTTGTAATATACTTCAGAAGTATAGTTTAAAAGTGTGAAATGTAATATTTAAGCCAAAATGACCACAGATAGGTATTATAGCCATAGTGTAAATTTATCTATTCATATAAATAATATATAGTATAATATATAATATACTAGAGGCCCATTGCACAAAGAGATTCGTGCAATAGGCATTCCCTTCCCCTGGCTGCTGGCACCTGGGACCCAGGCCTACGCTCCAGACGGAGCCTTCAGTCTTCGCAGCTTCGCCCCTATGTATGCAAATTAACCGCCGTCTTTGTTGGGTTAATTTGCATACTCCTGATTGGCTGGTGAGTATAGCGGAGGAACAGTTAATTTACATGTTTGTCTATTATTAGGTAAGATAAAATGCACATTTTATTTTTTGCATTAAATTTCAGTATTCCAGAAAACAAAAGAAAAATTAGAAGAAAAGAGTGTATTATTTTATAGAAATGGACTGTTGCAGGTTTTAGGGTTCATTGTGTCAAATCTTCATTTACACTGTTAATATATATACTTTTCATTTGAAGGAAATTTTTCAAATTTTCAAGATTTTAAAATAAATATCACTAGGTATTTGTTGAGATTTTTTTTAGTAAAATATGAACAGGTTTTAATGTTAGCCTAAGAAAAAATGTAATATATATGAAATATATGTGTGTAATATATATTTCAGAATCAGATACAGAAGAATACCCCTGACTTGTGGAGCTTCTGTCATGTCTGCAATACAGAACTGTGGGACTACAAACATGAATGTCAGAGATGGGAGCGTGCCAATCAGAGCTTCCATATTTCACAGACACAGACATGAGTAATTCTAATAGAAGCTAGACATTAGGCAGTGCTGTAGGGCCAATATGACCCAAATTCTATGAGAAAAGCATTACATAGGAGAGGAGAAATTATTTCTAACCAGGGGCTTTAGGGAGGATTCTTTGGGATTTTTACTGGGCCTTGAAGGAGCACTGAGGAAGAATGGCATTTGAGGCAACAGGAGCTTGAGCAAGAACTGTAAATGAAGGAAATGCATTGGAAAAGGGCAAGTAGAACAGTATGGCTAGAGTATGAGTATGATGGACTGGAATAGTGGAAAATGGGGCTTGAAGTATTTGGGCCTTGACTTTGAGAAACCTGGATTTTAGCACATTTTATTTTTTGCATTAAATTTCAATAATAGAGTAGTTTTTAATCCACTCTTACTGCTATGAAATATTTGACAAAAATCAGGGAAGATGCTCCCTATGGTCTCACTTAGAAGATTCTTTTAATAGCTTAGAATAGAACTGATGAAAACCTCAGCTGCCCTGAAACTTTTGTTTAGCACCTGCTATTGGCTGATCACTGCATTTGTCACCTGGATCTAAGATAATGTATAGCCTTTGAGCATCAGTTAATAATATAGTTGTAGAGACAGAACACACATGAAACTGAAGAACATTTATGAAGCACAATACATCATTTACTTTGTCACTTTAGAATCTGTTTTACTTTAGTTTCCCTCCCAGGGCTAGTGCTAGCATAAATGTATTTGGTGCATTCATTTCAGATAGGCAAAAACTTGGGCAGCTATTGGAGAGGCATATTCTGCCTGGCTATTTAGAAATGTTATAAACTTCACGTGACTGTAATTGGATGATCCTTGTCACCATCCAGACTGGCAGTATGTTTAGAATAGCACTGGGTATAGATAGAAGCTGTCACAGAAACCTTTTCAAGGCCATACACAATCTTTTCAGTTCATGAGATCTGGTTCTCAAAGGCAAGTGAGTGTTCCATACAATGGCAACAACATATAACAAACATCTTTAAAAGGAGTTAAAGGAAATAATTTTTATAATTATCATAATTGGGTAGATGATTTGATGAATTCGTTTTCTTACTAGTACAAGATTAGTGCTCCCTTATAATCTCTATAGAGCTGATAACTTTTTTGTTTTCTTTCTTATACTTACTAAGACAGCAGTATTGTATCCACACTCTCTAATTATGTAAGTTTATGAGGTACTTGTAACCTTAAAATGTTTCACAGTCCTGGCATGGTACAG